ACCTCGAAATTTAGTATTAAAACCATCACAATCTTGTAGCGATGTAAGTAAATGAAACACTTCGAACAACCAAACGAAAAACTTTTCTCGAAACTTGACTCATAATTATCTCTGATCGATTCCCTTGAACAATTTAATTGAAAGTTACAATTTCGTTGAAAAAGATTCGAAACTTTAACTCTGATATTTCAATAAGTTTTTCGTTCTCCTTCATTTTTGATCATTTTGAAAAAGTAACTGTAACTTGGGAATTGTTGTTAGTGTTTTTGTCGATTGTTTGTTTACAATTTCTTTTTTTCTCTCGTGTTTTGGTCATGTCAGGTTCTCGGCGTTTGGGGGACAGATTACATACCAAGAGGCACACGCTTTGGTCCCTTGGTTGGTGAAATCTACAAACGAGATGAAGTGCCCGAAGATGCCAATCGACAATACTTTTGGAGAGTCTATAGAGATAAAAGTGAATACGATTACATCGATGGGTACGATGTTACCAAAGCCAATTGGATGCGCTACGTTAATCCAGCATTTTCGTCGGAAAGTCAAAACCTGGTTGCATGTCAAATCTCAAATGGAATCTATTTCTACACAATTAAACCCATCATGCCCAATCAAGAACTACTTGTCTGGTATTGCCGAGAATTTGCCCAAAGATTAAATTTACCTTCTTCAGGTGAACTTGTAACGTGTCAAAAATTGAACAGTAAGTAAACTGACCAATGGCTATTATTATTTTTAGAAAACAGCGAGAGAGAGAGAGAGAGAGAGAGAGAGAGAGAGAGAGAGAGAGAGAGAAAGTCAAACAAAACGAGAAACAAAAAGCTCGAAGTATATAAAACAAGAACAACATCAACAACGAGCAATATACTTGTGATGATGATACTCAATTCTTAAAATATACTTACTAGAGTGTTTATTGCTCTGCTGATAGTTGGTTGATTGAAAGAGAATAGAAAAGGAAAAAAAAAATTCTATTCTATTCTATGAGTGTTTCTGCTTACCTTTTCCTTTTTTCTTCAGTGTGTTAAAGTTGCTAATTTTTTCTTCTTCTCTTCTCTCTCTCTCTCTCTCTATTTTCATCATCAACAGATAATAAAGAGTATTATGGTGGAAACACACGAACCGAAGGTAGTACCCGAAGTGATGAAGGTTATCACAGTAATTGTGGACCCGATGATGCCTCAACCCCACCCGAAGATAGTAGTGATAGCGATAGTGATAACAATTATGTTTTAGATTTTTCTGTTAAAAGTAAACGCGCTGATAAAGATCGCAATAAAATAAACAAGGTAAGTATCTGATTCATGAAAAAATCCAACTCGAAACAATTGAATAACCAATTTCTCTCTCTCTCTCTTGATTTAGTTGGAAGTTAGTAAGCAATTAAATGATAAAAATGAATTCCACCGTTTCAAGATCAAAATGCCTCGAGTATATAATTGTCTGGACACTGAACGGATTCGTGAACCAGTTCATGTTAACGTATCTCAACCTGGTCATAATCTTTATCCCGTTTACAATAATAACAAGAAGAATAGTTTACAAATTGGTTGTAATTTAAATCTTCAATTACATTCACCTGATTCAACTGAGAAAACTGATACTTTCTCATCAACATCTTCAACAACCTCATCTAAATCATTCTCACCCACCTCATCTTCACCAGCATTACTTTCATCATCTAAATCATTTTCACCAAGCTCATCATCACCAGCATTATTATCATCATTATTAACCCTTTCATCGTCAACCTCACTCTCATCACCAGCATTAACAACCTCATCTTCAGCCTCACCTTCAGCCTCAAAGGAGCATCTTCTACATCATCATCATCACCATTCTCATAACAATAATCATCTTCATCTTCATCACCATCATCATCATAATAATCAAAATAACGGTGATTTTATCTCTTCCAATGGTTCACCTTCAAGTAACACTGGAAGTGGTAATGGTGGAGGTTCAAGTGGATTTCCTGGTTTATATTTTAATCGAGATGTTGATGGTGTTAAATTAGCACCACTTTCATCAGCTGAATTAAATCATCACAATAGTACCAATAATAATCTTCCTCATCACAATTTTCCCTCCCATTTGTCACATCTCTCTCATCTTCCTCATCTTCCTCATCTTCCCTTACTTCCTATTCCAACTCCTCATCATGAAAGTTCCTCACCCACCTCAAGTATAGCGACAAATGATGTCGGTCAATTGTCACCCGGTTCTGCTCATGGTCGAGGTTACCGGTCACTTCCTTATCCATTGAAAAAGAAAGACGGTAAAATGCATTACGAATGTAATATTTGTATGAAAACTTTTGGTCAACTTTCTAATCTTAAGGTTCATCTTCGAACTCATTCCGGTGAAAGGCCATTTAAATGTGGAACTTGTACCAAATCTTTCACCCAATTGGCTCACCTTCAAAAGCATAATCTTGTTCATACCGGTGAAAAACCTCATCAATGTGATGTTTGTAAAAAACGATTCTCATCAACAAGTAACCTTAAAACCCACCTTCGTCTTCACAATGGACAAAAACCTTATGCTTGCGATCTCTGTCCAGCCAAGTTCACTCAATTTGTCCATCTAAAGTTACATAAAAGGTCACACACAAATGAACGACCTTATACTTGCTCAGCCTGTAATAAGAAATATATTTCCGCTTCCGCATTACGCAGCCATTGGAAAAATACCTCATGTCAACCCAACGAAATAGATGATCCTTATATCGATATTGAAAATTCAAATTCATCCTCATCATCACCAATTAATGCTCATATTTCAGAAAGTATCGCACTTTTTGATAGTCATTTTCATATTTAACTCACATAACAAGAAAAAAAACAAATCAAACCAACAAAATTTGGGGAAATTCATCAACAACAACAACAACAACAAAATCTTCATATTCATCATCATCTTTTCTCATCACCATCATCCCACCGTCATCATCAATTCCATCAACGATACCACCGTCAATAAAATCATCAAAAAATTTTCTTCTTTTCTCTTTGCACCACTGAAAATTATCATCTCTCTCTCTCTCTCTCACTCTTATAAAGATGTTTAATTTCATTCTATTTATCGTAACATCCTCATCATCATCGTCATCATCATCAACAAAACAAAACAAAACCCACCACACCAATAATGATAATATTAATAATAATCTCCATGGATTAAAATTTAAAATCTCATCTTTGATCAAAAAAAAAATTATTAATTATAAGCAAAAAACTTACTCCTTTTTTTTTGAGAAAACAAAAACTTATATCCAACAACGAGAGGGGAGATTTTAACCAAAATGTTGTCCATAACAATGTCTTAAATTAAATTTATTAAACTAAATAAAAGTCTAAGAGTGTTATCACTATTTACGAGAAGAAATTAATTGTTATAAATATAATTAACTCGGTGTTGTTTCTTTTTTTCTTTCTGCTGGTAATCTAATCAGGTCCCGATAATTTCCACGTTTTAACTGTTTACAAGAATTTTAAATGAGAGAAGAAAATAGAATTAGAATTAATAGAATTGATTTTGTAAACATTGGAAATTAATTGCTGGTGTTAATTTTGGTTAGGAAATTTTCGCCTCTCTATTATTACCAATTTCAATGTTTGCTTGTAAATTTTTCCATCATTGTCCAGGTAGAAAGTTGATGTTCCTTCAAGTGCTTCCCAGCTGATTAAAGAGAGAGAGAGAAGAAAACAAATTTCTAATTAAAATGACAATTTCTTTTTGTCGAACAATTTAATTAACAATTTAACTTACTCGTCTCTACGTTCTTCTGGCTTTTTATTAAATGAATTAGCTAAATCAACAACGAAAATGAGCATCCAGCCTGGTTTACCGTACATTTGCCATCTAATGTCGATGATCCCTTCGTCCGTATTTTTGGTCACTTCGACTGCTTTGAAATTGATTGCATTGTATTTCCAATTGAGGTAGAATAGATATTTCATTGTATGTAATTGATAATTGGTTAAACCTTTGATCTGTTTATTTAATATCTCATCATTCAATTCAATCTGAGGTGAGAAAAGACCAACTCGAGGTGAGAAACGTTTAAAGTTGGCAATCTAGAGAAAAGAAAAGAGAAAGAAAAGAAAAACGTAAATTATTTCATATCAAAGCTCATCAACAAGGAAACAAATTTGCATCTATGAAGTAAATTACAATCTAATTAAAGTGAAATCAAAACTAACCATTCCTTTTAATATCTCAACGGATTCATCAATTTTTTTCTCGTTCAATTTTCCAATTGATTGATCAGATGCAAATCTCAAGGGTAAAGGTGAAATCATCCTTATGGAAAATGATTGTTGACGAATCAACCTAGAGATAGCAGGTAAACAAACCATTTTTCTTTAATCACTAATCAAATGATTAACAATAACGATGACCAAACCACCAAAAGACCAAAAACCTAATAAAAGAAAACAACAAAATGTATCAATAAAAACCAAAATCTCTTCCAAAGGAAAACCCAAAAAGAGATACAAACCTTAAATACCAAACAATGGAAACGAAAATGAACCAATCAAACCAACAAAAAAGTTGCAAATAATCAAATTACAACAAGAAAAAAAAAATCACCAACCTAATCAATCATCAATCAAAAAGTAAAATAAATTTACAATCAAGAAAAAAAAATCACAAATCAATGGCAACAAAAACCAAAAGAAACCAACAAATTCACCAGAAACACTAGTCAACCCACCAGAGAAACGACCACCAACTAATCCAATTAAACAAATAATCAATAGTTAATTAAACGGGAAAAAAAAGGAAACAATTAAAACAAAAATTGTTAATTGTTTGATTGGAAACAAAAACAACAACAATTGGAAATTTTTTTTTCCAAAAATTAGAAAAAAAAAACGTTTTTTCCAATCGCAATTAGCCAACGTTCCCTTTGTGGAGCGAAAGTGGTGACATCTGGTGGGAATCGTTCATCGTGTCATCCATTTTAATTTGGATTTTTTTTTTCTGTGAAAATTTTCAAGTGAAATTGTGTTTTTTTTTTATTGTCTTTGTGAATTAAAAATGTATAAAAGTTGGAGAAAATTGATCCAATGTTGATTAATTTAATTGTCTTATTTAATTGTCATTATCAGTTAACCTGCTCTTGACCTTGTACAAATAGATTGTAAATTTGGTTGAACCTTTTTGGTTTTTCTTTTCTTTTCTTTTTTTTTTTGCTTTTCCTTTCTTCTTCTTTTTCTTAATTTTTCTTTTTGTTTATATTATATATATATATATCATTCTATTATTATTATTATCTACTGGATGGTTCCAATCATGGCGGCATCAACGGCAGCCGAGGCAACAATAAACTGCTGCTCATCAACTGAATTAACATCACCAGAAAATAATAATAATAACAATTCTGATGTTGACAATAATACGGAGGGAAATGAGATGGATAACATTACCATTGATACAAAGGAGACCATTAAAAATTGTAATTTTCTATCCAGTTCCAATCTTAATAATACCACCACCACCACCACAACAACCATAACCAATACTATTACTACTACAACTACCACAGATAATGTTTCTACCACTACCAATACCACCAATATCAACACAACAGCAACAACAGCAACAGCAACTGCAACAACCACTACAAGTAAAACCCCTACTGCTAAAACTATATGTACTATTACTGAGATCATTAATGCAGTAGCTTCTTTACCATCTAATTTATGTCCAGATACAAGTAGTAGTAATGATATTAATAGTGATTATAGTATGGCAAGTGGTGGTGGTGAAATGAATGTCAATAATTTAGACAATATAAGTGTTAAAACACCCGATTCTGATTGTTTCACTCAACCTCTTCCACCATCTAATCTTCCAGTCTTACGTTCAGCATCTAATCATAGTTCAACATCATCATCATCATCAACATGTAATCGTACCATTGATACCGAGGGAACTACAAATTTAAAGCCAGAAAAGGTTAAATCACGATGGAGGAGAAACAGTGAACTTGAATCTGGACATGGGACCGACCAACAACATGCTTATATGAATAATTCATCATCATCATCATCATCATCATCATCTTCTTCTTCTTCTTCAAACCTACAAGGATCAAGTTCAATGGTCAATAACAATAATATCTCAATGGAATCAACTAAAACCTCACCTTTATCATCATCTCTAAATAATTTGACACTTAATTTACCTAAAGAAACAGATCCAGTTCCCGATTATGATCATATTGATGAAAATATTTACCTTTTTGAAAGAAAAAAGTGTAAATTGAAAAAGGAAATGCGTCGTATGGTTTGTAATTGTATTTTAACAAAAGAGGAAAGACAAAGAGGAGTCTTGGGATGTTTAGATGATTGTCTTAATCGTATGTTAATGATTGAATGTGGTAATAGATGCTTATTGGGAGACCATTGTGCCAATAAGCGCTTCCAGAAGAGACAATTTGCCAAAGTTGAACCATTTAAAACGAGTAAAAAAGGTTGGGGATTACGAACAATTCAACCAATTCAACCTGGACAATTTATCGTTGAATATGTTGGTGAGGTGCTTGATCCACGAGAATTTAAAAGTCGAGTTAAACGTTATTCAAAAGAGAATCGTGAACATTATTATTTTATGGCTTTGAAAAGCGATGAGATTATTGATGCAACTCTCAAAGGAAATTTAACTCGATTTATTAATCATAGCTGTGATCCAAATGGTGAAACTCAAAAATGGACGGTTAATGGTGAATTAAGGATTGGATTTTTTGCTTCCAGATTAATTGAACCTGGTGAAGAGATTACATTTGATTATCAATTTCAACGTTATGGTAAAAAGGCTCAGAAATGTTTTTGTGAGGCAACAAATTGTAGAGGTTTTATTGGTTCAACCAATTCAACCAGTATCAATATTGATGGATCTCTAATTGTACCAAAACAACAGCGATCTCTTGAGAAGCAAACTGGTGAAGAAGAGAAACAAACCGAGGAAGAATTTGAAGATCTTGGTTTAGATGAAGAAATTGCCAAATTAACGGCCAGTGGTGGTATAAGAAATCGACAGCAAACTCTTATGCTTGCTCGTTTAATGGTTAGAGCAGAGGATACACCAAATCGTAGCAAATTATTACAAGTTTTAAAAAGTACTCAAGAGGTTGCTTATTTAAGATTATTCTTAGACTATCATGGTCTTCAACTTTTATGGAGCTGGATGGTTGACCTGGAAGATATTTACCTGAAAGGTGAAATCCTTGAGGTTTTGGCTATCCTACCAATACCCAATAAAACTGTTCTCAAGGATAGTAAAGTATTAGATGTTGTTGAACGGTGGGCCAAGCAAGCAGAAAGTGAAGCAAATCAACGTAAAGATGGTGCTCTATCTGTCAATGCGCAACTGCCTCTAATTGTGGAACCATCAACAACAATAATAACAACAATAACAACAGTATCATCATCTCCTTTGGCTGTTCCAGTGAAAAAGGAAGATAAACAAGAAGAAAATCAATCATTAAAAGAAACAGAGTCACAAAGGCTAAAACCATCATCATCCTCATCATCATCATCATCATCATCATCACCATCACCATTATCTAAACAATTGAATGATAAAGAAGATGAACCATCTAAGAAATTGGATGTAACCGATAAAATTGTAAAACAAGAAGAAGAAGAAGATGAAGAAGAGGAAGAAGTAAAAGATGAAGATGATGCCGAAGAGGAAGAAGAAGACAAAGTAAAAGCTACAATTGAATCTGTGGTCAAGTCAGAAAGTGAATCTATCGTTAAAGAGGAAGTAATTAGTCAATCTAAAGAGGAAATAGTGAATCAAAATGAAACTGCCGAGGGTAAACTTACCAACAATAACAGTATTGAACCCATGGAGGTTGGAGTAAAAGATTTACCTGTTGTCGATGTACCAGTTGAAATTGAACTTGGATGTGAAATTGAGATTAAACAAGATGTTAATGGTGTTGTTTATACCGAGACGGCAACAAGTGAAAATCAATCTGCTTCCAGTACTCCTGGAGATTCAACACCAGGTAAACCTGAACCAATTAAAGCTCGAGAAACTCGATCTTTGTCCACTTCTTCAACAACCTCTTCAATTGACGTTTCAACCTCTTCAACAACAACAACAACAACGACAACAACACCAACACCATCATCCACATCTAATGCACCTCCAGTTACCGCTGAAAGAGTAATTGGTAGACGAGTTTCGGTAAAATCTCGTAATGAAATTAAAGATGATACCAATAAGGAATCCAAAGTACCAAAAGAATTGGTTAAACCGATTCCTGATATTGTAATGTTAACATCTAAATTACTTTATCTATGGAAAGATTTGAAAGAGGTATTCAGGATTCCCCGACTTGAGAGACAGAAACGTCTTGAAGATGAGAAAGAAGCTGATCGTAAAGCTGTCGAAGAGCAAGAAAGAAAAGCTCGAGGTCTTCCAATTTTCTATGATCCTAAGGTGAAAAGAGGTATCGATAATCGTGACAATACCATCGCTGGAATCCTTAGGTTACGTGAATTACGTAAAAAGACCGTTAAGAGGCCTTCAGATGATAAAAAATCAGTACAAAACAATTTAAATTCCTCATCACCAGCTTCAAATACAAACAGTGGCAGTGGCAGTGGCATTGGTGCTACTCTTAGTGGAGCAAGTGGTGGTAATGTAAATTCAGATGCTGCTACAGGTCCAACACCACCCAAAGTCAATAAAGAAGTTCATAGGATGCAATTTGAAATGGAATTGATGAGAAAAGATTATTCTGCTGCTCTTGAAAAATATCATGAAGAGATTCGTCAATATAAAGAGAAAATGTTAATGCTTCAACATCAAAATCAACAATTACCTGGACCTCAATCATCTTTACCTATTTATCCAAATTTAAATCATCTACCAGTACCCCAACCACCAACTTTTGACTCAAATTATTTACCATCTCATGGTAATTTACCAATACAACATCAAAGCCCATTTAAAACAGGACAACAAGTGTTCAACAATTCACCCAATTTAATCAGTTTACCCTCTCATCCACCACCGCCCGTACCTCCAACCGCCCTTGGTATGTTTCCCGAAGCAGCCAATCTATTTACCGGTTACGGTGTAAATAGTGATTACTCCTCAAATTCTGGTTTAACAACACCGGTAACCCCTGTTGCCCCATTGACACCGCTTACACCATCAACCGATTATCATCAACAAACATATAATCTTGAGTCTCATCATCCTAATCACATAAACACCATAACAACTACCTCTCAACAATTTTCTTCTTCTTCTTCTTCTTCCCATCCATCAAATAAATTCATCTCAGAAGAATCAACATTTAGATTAAAAGATAATAGACCCGATTTTGGTTCTCCATCAAACAATAGTACATCTGATTGTAACCAATCATCATTAACCAATTACTTGTCATTTTCCTCAATTCCTGTATTAATTGATTGTACTGTTAGTCTTAATCATACTCTAATGTCAGATGAAGAAGCTGTTATTTCAACGGATTATGGTGTTGAGTATGTCCCTGTTAAAAAATCATCCTTATTACCATCATCATCTCCACTAAAATCATCGTCAACAACATCATCATCCTCATCATCAGGAACCACCACCACCACCACAACAACAACAACAACGACAACGACCAACAGCAAAGATAAATCTTGTTCTAATAGTAACAATAATTCAAGTAGCATTAATTGTAATATTAGTATTAGTGGTAATTCTAGTAACAATGATAGTCATGAGACTCTTTTTAATAGTGTTTATCCAGCCCCAGGAACCTATTATTTAACACCAGATGATAATTGTTACTTTGTTCCACCTCCATTTGATCTTCATGGTCACCAAATTGAACCATTTATATTTGAAAAGGTTCCAACACCATTTTTACCCACCTTCACCAAAGAGTCAATACAAACAGCCCTTCCTCCCAATTGGCGTTGCTCAAAAGACAATTATGGAAATGTATATTATTACAATAAGGTGACAAAAATGGTCCAATGGGATTTACCTGAGATGAATTTGATCACTGAGACAATTAAATCAAAGATGAAAGAAACTGATACTATTATAACCAATACAATTGATAGTAGCAGTGTTAACATGATCACCACAACTACCAACATCATAACCACAACCTCCATAAATAATAATAATACTGATAATACATCTCAAGATGAATCAAGAGTACAATCACAGCAATCATCATCATCATCATCCTCATCAATGGGACAGCAAACACCTATAGATGTACAGCAACAATTAACACAATTGTCATCAGATCAATCATCAATTGAAAAAATGGAAACATGTACAGAGCAACAGCAAATTGATAATAATTCAAATACCAATTCTGATGGAGTTACTACTTTAATTACAACAAATGAAAATACCGGAAACAGTAATGATGATAATAATGATGATGAAACACCATCGGTAACCACAACAGCACAACCTTCTAAAGAAACATCACCCCAATTATCCTCAGAGGAACCATTAGTCAATGGTGGTGAATCTGGATCACCTGATAATGTAACAACAAATGATGATTCAACCAGTGAATGTATGGGAACACCAAGTCATACCTTACCTGGTTCTTATGAACCTGATCCCAGGAAAAGGCGATCATCTTCAACCAATAGCATTGGACTTCCCCATCATACCAATAATAATAGCACCTCAACAACTCCATCAGCAACGACAACGACAACAACAACAACAACAACCAATAATAATAACGATAGTGAAAGTAAAAAATCACTAGCAATTGTTAAAAATTTCTCATCTCTCATGGAAATTAACGATGGTGATCTGATAGCATCAAATAGGCGAGATCGAGGTGATAAAAAGGAAAGACGAATCAAGGAAAAGTTTAAAGCAGAGATGTCAGAGCATATTAAATATTGTCTTAATCCATACAGAAAAATTGATTGTAGGGTGGGACGAATTTTATGTAATGATGATTTTAAATATGTTGCACGCCGGGTAAGTTTAAACTCTCTCTCTCTCTCTCTCTCTCCTCTCTTGCAAAGAGAAGAAGAATCTTTTTCATTGTGTTTATATCATGTTACTAATTTTAAACTTTTTTTCTTTTTCTTTTCTTGTTTTTCCCTTAACAGTTAACTCATTTTGTTATGCTTAAAGAGCTTCGACATTGTCGAAACATTGAAGATTTATGTTGCAGTGAAACAGTTAAACATAAAGCTAAAGAGTATGTGAAAAAATACATGGCCGCCAAGGGACCCATCTATCGGCCAGAAGCAAATGAAGAGATTTGTAAGGATAAAGAAAAGTGTTCACCCAACTCATGATAACAACCAAAATACAAACAAAATCCTAAACTCGAATAAGAAAGAAGAAGAAGAAGAAGAAGAAGAAAAAGAAAAAGTAACAACAAAGTTATCATTAAATCCATATAAAAACAAATAACAAATTGCAATGTCCATACGAGTCCAATTTTTCATTCAATTTGTAAATAATGAAAACAAAGAGAAACTTGAGTTGACATAAAAAACAAAACAAAACAAAACAAAACCACAATGAACATACATATTGATTTTGATGAGCGAAAATTGAAAATAAAAAACAAAACAAAATTGGAGCAGCAACTTAATCACAATTAGATGAGTTAAAACAAAGACAATGGAAGACAGAAAGAAGAATCATAAAGAAAGAGTTTGATCATCATCTTAATCCGTTTCATCATCAATTCAACGATCATCATCATCATCAATCTCATCATCTTGACATCATCTTCTTTATCATCATCTAAAAGTCAATCACATTTGATGAAAATAAAAATTATTGCCAGTTATTTATCATTGGATAACTAAATTAATATGGATTAATATCTAATCTTATTAATGATCATGATTTAAGTGAGAAACAATGAGAGAGAATATTGTTTACATAAATACTAATGTTAATATAACCAAGAAGAAGATGATAAGTGAAGAGTGTGTGTGTGAGAGAGAGAAAGAGATAAATAATTAACTGTTAATGAGAGAAATGAATCTAAAACAATTGATTAGTGGAAAAGCAAAAAAGGTCAAAAGAATCGGATTAATCTTAATGGTCAACATTTGATTGTCTAGATTTAATAATAATGTGGGGAGAAAATTTTGATCGGTCATCCACTTTATTAATTGTATTGTCCATTTAATGAGACAACACTGGACATTGAATTACTGACCCAACGGACAAAAGTTACAAGAAAAAGGAGTTGAAACAATGATTAGCTTACGAAATTATCTCCTGGGAGTTATGGTGTTTATCATGATAGGAATCTGATGATTGTAATTTACTGAAGAGAAACATTTTCATTTGTTTTCCAACCTCATAAGTATTATAATGACTCGAAGGGAGTTGAAATGTTACAATGATTATCCGATAATTGAATCAATCAACCATTCACAGTGTGTGGTGGGTAAGTAATAGACTATCAGGGTAATGGTGATGTTCATGGGGAACACGATAAACTCAGAGAAAGGTCAGAAAAAATGACCACTAAGTTAATAGAATAACAAAAAGTTTCCATTATTATTATTTGTCTTTTCCTTTCACAATTTTGATTATCGGTGTTCATTTTAACGTGAGCATTTTCATTAACCTTATTATCAATTGTTTCTTGTGATTAATTAATTCATCTAATCAATGGAACGATAAGTTTTGTTATTGTTTCTCGAAAAGGATGACCAGTGGTCATCGTATCTGTAGAAACCTTTTTTTTACCGTTTCCATTGATCTTATCGGTTAATTTGATTCATTTGATTCATTTTGTTGATTTGTCTTCTCATCTCAACAAAGATTTTCTTTAAGTTTCTCAATCAACTGGTTTAATTAACTTTAATCCGGTTAATTAAATCAATCACAAGGATTAATATCCTCTTGTTGTTTCATTATAATCTTTCAATTGTTAATTGTTTTTTATTTTAATCCAAGTGTTTACATTTAGATTAGTATTTTAATCAATACTTTGTTTTTATTTTCACAATTAGATGAACAATTAACTTAGATTTTCCTAATCAGAAAATGTTTAACTTTCTAATCTATTGATTGGAAAATTTTTCTTAATTGTCATTAACAAATCGACCATTTTTTTTACACTTGTTGATGATTAATTATTAGAATTAAATTGTTGTTGGAACAATCAACTTGATCCTTAATCATTATCATTCCTTTGAACGTTGAGAAAATTAAAATTGATTGTTCCTTATCAAGAATCCCAACTTATATTGATAATTAATTGTTGTTTAACAGTTTTAATCACTATCAACAATCAATATCAATCTTATCACTTGAATATCCTAATAATCACAATGAAAGGAAATCAATAATTAATGAGAAAGGATTTTTTGTCATTCAATTGAATTAATAGTTAATAACAATCAACTAATTGACCTTAACCAATGACAATGAAATTAACGTACAACAACAAATCATAATGATGAAACAATCAAACTTAATTAAATTGTTTCACCATCTAAATTAGATTACATTAATTAAGAAGGAGCTAAACTTTATTATCAATATAATTGCAATTATGAACAAAAAACACAAAAACTAATCAAACTAATTGCGACTTAATTGTAAGTTGATTATCTTAATAAAACAATCAAACCAGATCAAAAATGATACAATTAATTGTGATGATAAGCCAAAAGACACAATCAACACTCAGAATCTTAAATTTAATCAGATGAAATATGAGAACCATGAACTTTATTGTTGTTCATTTTCATGTTCCCATAATTCATTGTCCAGTATATTGGTCATTAGTTTTTGTTTCACCTTCGGAGCATTGGGATGAGAAACTAGTGGACACTCATTAAACTGACCAATTGGAAAGTCCCAAGATGATGAAAAAAAAATGAAGAGAAAAAAAAAGTTCTGTAATATAATAGAAGGGAAGAAAAAAAAATTTCTCTTATATATCATGTATCAGATTCTGGTGACTTTTTCATGATCATGGAAATAGAAATATTAATAATAAGAGATAATAACATTTTCCAATATAAATAAACATCAACAATTGAAAGATTTTTCCATCAGTAAAATTTATCATTTTGTTTTCTATTATCATGATTAGAAAAACAGATTCACCCAATGAGAGATTTAATATCAGAATTAAGCTAAAAAATCTTCTCTTGTTCCTGAATTCAAGTAATTGGATGACAAGGAAAGAGAGAGAGAGAGTGAGATTACAGAATTATCTTCCTCATCATCTTGTACATTTAAATGAAAATAGTAAATCGTAATGATGACTTGAAGACCTATGGCTGATAATAAAAGAGGATAAAGATGAACATAAAGAGAGAGAGAGAGGATAAATGATGATGATGAAGTAAAATTAGTTAACAGTTATTTAGATTAATGTTATTGTTGATTGTTGATTGCTGGATAAAATTGGTTAGGTTGGAGATGTTCAACAATCACATTACGATTTGATTGTTGAGATGCATTAGGATAATAGTCCATCATCTCTAATTTTATGTATATTACTCATCTTCTCATCATCATCACCATCCCCAGCATCCACCCACCTCATCCCACCCTTGATGAAATGCTCTCTAACTCTATCCCACTTAGATTCGTAAGTAATTGAAAAACATTGAGAGAGAGAGAGAGACTATCAGAGGCAAAACAAAGCTCGAACAAACCAATAAAAGGGAAGAAATTAGAACATTTAAAAAGACATGGAAACTTTCAGGGTAAAAGAAAAGAGATAATTTGAAATGATGAACAAGACGAAGAAAAAAAATCATGACGATAAAACTGCAAGTAGTAGATAAAAGTGATTGAACATTAACAAGATATAAACTCTTATCTTTCATGATTTCCAATTGAAACTTCAGGGTTATTATTTCGTTGTTGATATGAATGGATTATCGGAGCTGGTGGATGATAACATGAGGCGGCTGAGAGAGAGAGAGAGAGAGAGAGAGAGAGAGAGAGAGAGAGAGAGAGAGAGAGAGAGAGTTGTTATTGTTTGATAATATAAAGTAACTAAGTTGACAATGGAGTTTACTATTTGTTTGTTTACATTGTTGATTGGGTTGAAGAAAGTAAAAGTTACTCATTGTTTTCCCATGATGATCATGATCATTTCTCATCTTAAGAATTTACATCAACAGTGAAAACGATATTATCACCAAGAAGAAATAAACAGAATGCTGGAAGAAGATGAAGTTTCTGTTTCCTTTTTCTTGTCTGAGTTTTTTTTTCTAATTCAATTTTCGTAACTATTATTATTCTTATATATATAATATTTACTCAGTAGCACCGAGAAAGATAATTATATAACATATATAATATACATTTCTTCATTATGACCAGTAGCTTATTGACTTTACATCGTTATAAGTCATCATCTTAGTGGACACTAACTAATAATTCATCTGTTGATGGTCAGTAAAATTTTTATTCGGTAATTAAAATCTATATATATACAGATTATCACCTGAAACTTGACCATCACTGTTGATCAGCAATTGACATGTTCTCAAGCGAGATAATTATTATCACGTTTATCTGATTTACAGAATTGATATCATATAAGTTCAACTGAATGGGAACAAAGTTGTTTGAACTTTATTCCTTGGGAGTGAAAAATGATTCCACCTTTCTAAACGATAACTAAACGATAATCATATTGGAATTGGAATAACCTGTAACCATAAACTATTGAACTTTTTGAACCACATGGTGACTCTGTTTTTTTCTTGTTCTCCATGAAAAGTTTCAATGTCTCCCTCATGGAATTGAGATATTGTTTTTTTTCCTCTTCATTTAAAGTTACTTGTTGTTGTTGTTATTTTTATTTATCATTGGTTATTGTTTCATGTTAATGGTAATTGAACATTTTCCCATTGAGAGATACTAATGATTCATGATATGAGAGCTCAGGTAAATTGGAACTTTTTTATTTTTCTTTACATTTCATTCTTACCTTAACTCAGTGAATGAAAGAAATGAAAACGCAAAGGATTAAATGTATGGGTTGGAAATAGAGAGAACTTTTCTTTTCTCTGTTGATTTTACTATTTTTCTCTATTGTGTCAGAGAAAAAGGTTAATAACAGGTAAGAAGATGAAAAGAACCATTTTTAAATTGTGAGCCAAATAAAGAAGATGATAAAAGTTATAAGAAGAGAGAGAGAAAGAAGAAAACAGAAAAACTGATAAAAAAGTAGAAAAAGAGCTTAGAGTTTTCTCTAGTCTCTTGTTTTTCATCATCATCTGTCCTCAGAATCAAAGGTAAGTATTAAAGGTCGAAAGTCTTAATGAGTCTTAAAACTTTTTTTCGTAAACTAATTGATAATAATTTCGATAATGAAATGATAGTATTAATAAAGATAATTTAAATTCAATGAATATTGAGTAATATTGAGAGTATGGAGCTTTTTCCTTTTCGAACTCCCAAACTCACCTGAGAAACTAACTGAACTTTTTTATCTCCCTCTCACTTACTCACTTACTCACTCACTCACTCACTCTCTCTCTCTCTCATTCTCTCTCTATTTGAATAAAAAGATTGAAAAATCGGAAAATCAAATGATTAAGGATAATCATAAGTCTCATCTTCATAATTATTGATATCATTATCATCATTAACTATGAATTACACTGAGCATTATGATTGATGATAAATGACAAACTCCGCTCACTCACAATCTCTCTCTTTCTCACCTCGCTTTTTCCTCCACCTACTGAGCCAATATATGATAAGAAAGTACTACTATTTGCTGTCTAGCTCATGATGAAAAGCGCATGAACAGAATCAGAGACCTACCATGGAAAATTTAACATGAGTTAGTATTGAACATCGATTGACTTTCAAT